TTAGTGTCCCGGAGCGGTGCGGCGTCGGGGAACTGGGGCTCGGCCGTCCACCCTGGGCGAGGGCCAGGGTTCGCGTTCCTCTCGCGAAAGGAGGAGCTCCGCGCATAGTGTAAAACCCGACCGGCGAGCTGTCGATTATCCGTCGTGCGCGAGAGATCGAGCGAACACACCGCCGAAAGCCTACGTGGCTGTCGTGACCTTCGTGGTCACGACTCGAACATCGAAGCTGCCGAGGACCAGCATCGCGACCGCGAGCAAGGATATTTATATGGTGTTAGTAAGAATCGCTGCCGAATTACCGAATTACGCGAGTTGTTGTCGTGTGAACGCGGGCAAAACATCCCGTCATTGTAATTAGCTACCGTCGAATAAAATTCGAATAGAGAACATCCGCCTTCATTATTTCAATACCCGCCAACTACTAATCCTTCCGACATCGCGCGAACCAGCCCCTCTACCGAGAGCAGGGCTGAGCTGCCGGACGTGCGAGCGAGCCGTTCGGGTGGAGGACAAGTTGTCCTCATCGGCGAGACCACCGCTTAGAGTAAGAATTAGTGTTGATACTTTTTTTAGTGGGTACGGACCGCCGTACCTGGCGCCCATCTAGAGCTTTCTTTTGTTCGTGTGAGCTGTCGGGTCTCGCTGGATCTGCCGAACGGTCGCCGAGGCGCGAAGAAAACAACATTTTTGTCGCTGCACTCGATTAGTGAAACCGGCTGCACGAGCCGCGAGTGTAGCGTTACAATGCTTATTCTTATAGGCCCTTTGATTTTAAATATCAATAAATGTAAAAATTTCCGAGACTATAAAAGTTCAAGCACAGTTATTTTAGTGCAAAAAAACTTTAGTGACACATTAGTATACACTGTGACGTGACGATTAGTAAATATCGTCCGTCACTAGTAGTCTATAGTAAGGAAGCATTATGAGCTTCCCGGCTGCAGGCGGATGTCGCGTCCTAGCCGTGAGGCGTTTAGGATGCGAGCCTACGCAGCCCTCGAATCATTATTTGTGTATAAATACGGTCATCGAGGTTGAGTCAGGAAGAAGAAGGCCACCAGCAAGGAAGACTGCTGCCGCCGTGGGAGAGAAAAAGCCTGCGAGAGGAACGGCCGCAGGACCTGCTACTCCAGGTGAACCGCTTCCGTCAATAATACGACTCAGTAGGGACCCACAGGGTGGAAAACTTAACACAGACCTGTTTCAGTAACATCCTGTACGGCGAGGCGAAGCTGCCGAAGGGGAGCGATTACAGGCTGTCGCTAGGAAGCCGTGAGGACGGAGTGGATCGACACCGCGGACGAGCGGAGGATAGCTGCCGCCGGAGGAAACCGGCGAGCACATCCTCCGCGACCCGGAGCGTCCTCCGATCCGAGCGAGAACGCCGCGAGGATCGTAGATCGACGCAAATAACGGCTGCCGAAAAGGAGCTTAGGCCAAGGTCAGACGGACAAGGAAGCTCCAAAGTCTGATGTACCGAAAACAGCTGTGCAGAGTCAGAGATCGAGAAACGGGGGAAAGATCCCGCCAATGAGCGCCCAAGAGCTGTCGGAAGCGGGTTCAAACACCTAAAATAAAACAGGACGACAACGACCGTTCGAGAGCTTTTGTCGCCAATCTCGCCGATAACACGGAATCTAGTGTGTGAAGGACGCGCCATCCGTAGAGCCGAGAACCGGAAGAAGAGGCACCGACGACTCGACCTTCGACCCGTAAGACCGCTGCGATATCCAGGGTCCTATTTGTGTGAGTCCAGAGGGACCGCCGAGGTCAGTTACCGACTGCCCCCGCTCCGCTCAAGCTTTGGTGAGTCCGTTCCAAAGGGGACGAAGATATTATGGTGATTTTCGCGGCGCGGAGCGGGCGAGGCGTCGGCGAGCGGGGACCCGGCCGTCCTCCTGGACGAGGGCAAGGGCTCGCGTCCCTCCCGCGCGTTAGAGGGACAAGCTGACGGGATCATTACGACGTTAGCAAATCCGCCGAACATCCGCCGGTTGTACCGTCGGCGCGGACACACCGCCGAGCGCTTACGCGGCGGTCGTGACCTCCGCCGGTCACGACGCTAACTCGCGCTGCCGAATACCTCTGTCGCGATTGCGAACAAGGACTCAGTTTGTTATCATAGCAACTTTGTTGCCGGCTAATACCAGTGTAACGGTAACTAGCAATAAACGTTGTCTCAAGGTATTGCGGATCATTTAATTATCCTAGTCGCCGCTCTATCCTTTCACCTCCGACCTCGCGCGAACCAGCCCCTCTGCCGCGAAGAGGGCTGAGCTGCCGGACATTCGGGTCAACCGTTTGGGCGGACAAAGAGTGCTACTCTTTGGCGAGACCAGCCTTTTCGTGTTTAGTGGACGAGTCTTTTAGTGGGTACGGACCGCCGTACCTGGCGCCCAGTTAGAGTTCTCTTTTTGTGTTGAGCTGTCGGGTCTCGCAAAATCCGCCAAACTGTGAGAGCTGACCTAAAGGAACAAAATAATTTTGTCGCTGCCCCGATTCGTGTGCCGACTGCGCGAGTCGCGAGTGCAGCGTTACAACACATTAGTGACACATCTCTCTAATTTGAATGGATATTTTATTAAAAAAGAAATCATACGCGTTTCGGTCTTTCTTTACAGACCTTCTTTAGTGGTAAATTAAATTTAACAATGATAAATACATAAAACGTTTATCACAGAAGTCGCAATCAAAAAGATGTCGATATATATATAATAATAATCATAAACGGGAAACGGAAGTTACGCAAAAGAAAAAATAAAAACCATAAAAATATGACTGTAAATAGATCTGTCAAGACAAAAAGGATAAGTTGTGGTATTCGTCGTTGTTAATGGCCCAGTCACAAGATCTATTACTCACAAAAGCACTTAATAGCGTGCCGTGATGGGAATCTAATAAAAATTGTGCGTATAAGAGTAACAGAATTAGAAACCCAGACAAAGTAAAAGCTTAAAAAAACAAATAACTATATAAATGTCTCGTAGAGTGTAATGTTTATCAAAGATATAGAACGATGTTAGTCTAATATCGTTAGGCGCATACTTCCAAATGCCGGGAGCGGTACAAGACATGTGTTTATATTTTGAATCGCAAACAGCACAAAAACTAAAATCGTCAATGGGCGGAATAAATAATGTTAAATAAATTCAAGCAAAGCGTTATAACCGTTACCTAGGTTTCGTGTCGATTTGCGAGTTAAGACCATGTTTTTGAGATTTAATAAAAATCATTTTAGCAATTAACCTTTTAAAATAAAACCGTTCTTTATATAAAATTTTAATATCATTCCAGCGAAATTCGTGATTGCAATTGACACGATGCTCCTGAACAACCGAAAGATCAGAAGTTAAGTCCCTCGGCAATTTCTTATACTCAGAAATTCGTGTCGAGAGCCTTTTGTTAGTTTGGCCAACGTATGTAGAGCTACAATCATTGCATTTCAATTCGTACACAATATTGTTTTGGAAATCATGCGGCAGCTTATTTTTGTGCATGCGAATTATACCCGATAGTTTGTTAAACTATTAACTTGATAGAAACTATCGGGTATAATTCGCATACACAAAGATAAGCTGCCGCATGATCTCCAAAACAATATTGTGTACGAATTGAAATGCAATGATTGTAGCTCTACATACGTTGGCCAAATTGGGTAATTATGGATTTAGGTAATTATTTGTTTTTTAAGCTTTTACTTTGCCTGGGTTTCTAGTTTTGTTACTCTTTTACGAATAATTTTTATTAAACTCCCATCACGGCACGCTATTAAGTGTTTTTGACTAATAGATCTTGTGACTAGGCCATTAACAAGGACGAATATCACCACTTGTTCTTTTTGTCTTGACGGATCTATTTAAGGTCATATTTTTATGATTTTTCTTTTTTCTTTTACGTAACCTCCGTTTCCCGTTTACGATTATTATTATTATATATGTATCGACATCTATTTGATTATATTATATATGTATCAACATCTTTTTGATTGCGACTTCTGTAACAAACGTCTTATATGTTTATCATTGTAAATTTAATTTACCACTAAATAAGGCCTGTAAAGTAAGACCGAAATGCGTATGGTTTCCTTTTTTAATAAAATATCCACTCAAATTAGAGAGGTGTGTCACTAATGTATATTAGTTTTATTGCACTAAAATAACTGTAACTCTTATAGGCCCTATATTTAATTGTTTGTTTTTCAAAAAAAGTTTTTTTTCGTACTTTGTAAAATTTTCGATAGTACGTTTTTTGAAAATTATCTTAAAATCCCCTATGATATTAAGGAAAGAATGTGTAATACTATTTAAAAAATTCAATGTGATATAATATTTGATATAATTTTTGATTAATGTTTTTTCAATTTTTTTATTGCAAGTAGTAGCTTGCGTGAAACAGATAAAAATATTTACTTTATCTTCTTTTAAGCTGTCAGCGTTTTAAAAATCATGTAAACCATTGCGCTGAACACACTCTGTTTATATTGATCTTTGCACAAACCTGATGAGTCGTAAATGATTTACCACGTTGTTACTCAGACTGTAAGTAAAATTTTCGCTTGAATCCAAAACAGCTAATCGGCCTTTGAAGTTCTCCAGCTGGCCGCAGAGATGAAGAATCGTGAGTCCAAGAAAGGCATCTACCGACGTATAGGTTACAGCAGCCAAGAAAATCGTAATCGCTTGAGCAACAAATGTTAGTTCAAATTGCGGACTCTTAATAATATCGTAAAAATAATAAGTCTGCAGCGGCAATGGTTTGTTTGGGTCCGTAAGATTTGTCAAGTGTCTTAATGGTAAGCCAAAATATGGAAGAACGACGACCATGATGAACGCCAACACCATCAAAACGTACCCACATATGACAATCACCCGAGCAATCTGTGCTCGTCTTATCATTACATCTCTTTCTTTTGTTGTCTTCGATTCTGTCCAATCCTCTGCCATCATTTTTACAATAGATAAAATAGCTATAAAATATAGTAAAATATAGTTAAGCATATTCATATTTTGTTTAAATATAGTAAAGTTATTAGATACTACTCTTTTGCCCATTATTTATTGTTTCGTTGAAAATATATTTTTTAAATAATTTAATCTAAAAAGTAATTTATTTTCATATTTGATATTTTCATATCTTAAAATGTGTTTTCGTATCAAAAATTATTTTGTTATACCTGTTCGTTTCCATCGCATGATAATAAGTTTCAATGAGACCACTAGTAGAGGTAAAGTAACTTGGAGGTTGTCTACCATAAGTAGTATGTCACCCCAGACTCGCAAAAGAGACCATATCAAGGGAATACCAGAAATAAATGTTACTATTATAAGAATAATGCCCACGCGCAAATCAGAATAGAAGGTATTCTTGGTGATTTCATCGTTTTTCGGCCACAAACCAATTAATTCCAAACCAAAGCGATTTAATTTAACCGCCCACACAAAATCTAATAAAGTTTAATATTAAAATAAAAAATTAGTCAAAGTTTATAAGATATCAGGAATTTGGAAGAGCTTCAAAATATATACGAAGTCTCAGAAGACAAAACCTTTTTAAATTTTAAACGATATATTTTAAATTGCTATATAAAAAATACAAATATCTATGTGTATATGCTATTTTCTGAATATTTGTATTAAAAAAATTACGACTTAAAAATTGCATAACGAGATAACAAAATCGATGTGTCAAAGATAAAAATATGTAATAACTTTCAATATATGTGTATGAACAGAAAAGTACATGATAAATACTCGATACCTTTATAACCTGAATGTTCTGAAATATCCATGTCGAAAATTAATGCAAAGAAGCTCACATCACTAACCACTCTATTAAGAAGACTGATACGCATGCTCGAAATGCAGTATAACTTGTCTACTTCGTAGAAAGATATATTAAATATTACAAATAATGCTCCCAGGTGTAATCAGTTATTCGTTTCATAATAAAACTTTACCAGTACAAAAACGAGTCATAAAAAGCTTGAATATGTATCCTAATAGAGAAGGAGATATATTTCACGCCGTATATCGCAAGCTTATCGAACTTGTACAAGTTTTCTCATAATACTTCACAATAAACGTATAATTACATGACAAGAAATAATAGCACGCAATTACATTTTAAATAACTTTTTGTAGAAGGAACAGAAGGCGTAGAAAAAATACTATAAGAAATAGATGGTACGAAGATGCGCACACGTAATCGATTTTATATATATGCGTGTTTTGTTGCTATACTTATGGTCAACCAAGCCAATAGAACCGATATAGAATTTATTATGGAAAGTATATAGACGCGAAATTCGATTATAATATGATCGTTAAGAATGTATTAATATATCATGGTAGTGGAAATATATATCTTATTAAAATTTACAGACACACACTTACACGTAAGTACGAGTTTTTTCTCAAATTATTACCAACATTTAAAGTAAAAGATATATTTCGTATATACTTAATAAATAAGTGTATTTTTATATATAGTAAAAAACATTTTGTATTTGTGTTAAAATTTTTCTGTATAGAAACTTTCATGTTAAATCTTTAACACATTTGTATGTTAATTAAACATATTGTCGTTATGTTACATATACTTTTCTATGTTAAATTAATATTAACCATTTTCAAGAGTTAAAATAACACTTGAGAATTTCAATTTTTAAACAATTTATATACAAAAAGAAAAAATTGGTTAAATTAATCGAAAATATGAGTAAACATTAATTAAACTGGTGGAGAATAAACGATCAAAATTTTTGACTAAAATAATCGAATAGAATTGGTTATATGACTTCTGATACACAAAGATTAGTTTATTTCGTTATAAACAGAGTGTTCACCAATTCCACTGACAAACTGATAGGATGTATTCGTGATCAATGGAGGATCAATTTTTCATTATGTTTATTTGGTCAGATCTGCCTCGCTACGGAGTTATCGGGCGTGAAAGTCAGTGAAAGTGAGATAAAATTCCCACATAGCACGTAATATTGCAGAAATATTGCAGTGATATTGCAATATAGTTGTAATATTAGGTGAAGTAAAAAGTTCTGAGCGTTTTCCGCTAGATGTCTTTAGTGAGCCATATCTCACGATGTATACATCGCATCGGGTCATACTATACGGCGATTTAAAGGTGACATTACGCTTCAAAAAAAGTTCTGTGACAGTTTTGTGTTTGGTCAAGCCAGTTGTGTG